CTCTTATCCTCGTCATACTTGGTGAGGGCCTCGTTGAGCTCCTTGAAGAGAGGGCTGCACAAGGCATTGAGGGCCTTTGGTCGGTTAAGAGTAACTAGAGGTGATTAGCAACGTCTAGACAACAGCTATACCAGTGGTAAGGGTTCATACTTAATCCCACGCCTGGCTTAGGGTTGGAGGTCAAGATATACTCATAAGCTGGCGACCCAGTGGAGTAGAAGCGGGAGATGTAAGACTGCAGGGGCCGGGCAGTCTGCGAGGCAACGAGCCTTGAGCAACGTCTGGCGAACATGGCGTGAGATGTGTATGGAAGCAATTGATATCACAAACAAGCAGCTCACAGCTCAGAGATTTGATAGCTAAGAGATGTCTACTCTACCAAATGATTCTATCTCAAGGTGTTTTGGCCCGCCGAGCTAGCGCCGAGGCAAAAAGCCGCGTCAAGCCGAGGTCTCTTAAGTAAGCAAATATCTATAAATTAACTGATTGGTTGGCCAATCCTGCTTCTTATTGGCTGGAACTTAAAATTCTCATTGGCTAAGTCACGTTACACCTCCTTGTGCCTTTCCCTGAACTGGCGATATCAACACTTTCCTTCAACTTACCAAGTCTTCACAAGCATATATCAGCAGTCTGAGGGATGGCGTTCACAAAGCGCCTGTACGGCAGATATATCAAACACTCAATTGCAAGCTCAACAGGCTGATATCCCAAGCCTTCAAAACTTTACTCTCTATAAAGAAAGTAAACACTTTGATTTTTCTTTGATATTTCTAACAAATTCAAAACAATACTGATATACTAGTCAAGATTGTATTGTTGTATCTATGATAACCTTCCTGATAATCGCAAACACAAGAGGTGACAGTTCTGCAATGCTCTCTGCCCAACTCCATCATTCTGTCGAGTTTCCTTCGCCGACTTCAGTAACAAGTTTCTTCACCCCCAATATCAACAGCCTCTAATCTTCGCGAGGGCGCGCAACAATACTGAATTGCTGGCTTGTTAGGTTCTCGCGATAGGGTCTTATTTTCAAAACCATAGTCGGATCACTGCTAGTGTATCGTATCACAGTCCATGCCAGCTTGGCAGATGGGTTGGAGGGGTCGAGAAGAATGAGCGAGAAGAGACCGTTATCGCGCGCTTCGACATGGAAGGTTGAGGCCCACTCGGTGTCGAAGGTTGCAGGCTCTCCGTCTTTAGCATCCGGGAAGCGGACATGATTGGTCGTGCGATTGAATCTGCCGTCCGAGGGTTCGACGATATGCCAGCCACGGGCTGGTTCGCCGACATTCTCCATGAAGAACTGGTTACCGTCATTGCTTTTGGAGAACGTAACGAGCTTTCGATCTCCATTGTACTGGGCCGTTAACCCATAGTTATGGCTGATGATGGTGACAAAGGAGAAAAAAGATACTTCAGCGGCAGCTATGCCTGCCAGGAGAAAGATGAATGCCAGAGTTATTTGCATTGTTAGAACTGTGGGTTGGTATAGTTGAAGGGCGGCATAAAGGATGATTGATAAAAAATCAGTCGTCCGGATGGGGGGATGTGAGGGATTCATATATTTTTTTACAATATGAGCATGCTGTGTATACAGGCTGGTAGTCTCGTACTCTAACAGGGGCCCTGGTTCGGGATCAGCAGGGGTGCGGAAGCATGGGCTTTGACATTTTTTATAACCGAGCATGGTTCTCACGCAATGGAGGGCGACATCCCGGGCCATGATGAACGATATCACAGGAGCGGCCAGACTTGCCTGTTGAGACTTCCCTTAAGAGCATGCATTGGTGAATCCAGATAATATGCCTTCTCACAGATAACTACAATCTGCTCCGCGGAGAACTAGAGGTTACATCCAGAATATCCGGCATTTAATATCGTATTATATTGAGACATCACCGTTCACAACCGTCTTACTCGCAGCTGCCCCTGGCTGGCATACACGAAAGAACAAGTTGAAGGCCAGTTGCCCGGACCAGACTTCGGTTCGGTTCGGTATATTAGCTTGTATAGGGCAACATACGGAAGCCCATAAGCACCACAGTTATCCGGATAAAGCGGTGTGTATGGTCCTGATATCTCTAAATATAAATGTCGTCGTGCCGTCTCAATCCCACAACTTGCTCATCAAATTTCATTTGTTATCCTATACCTCCCTCTTGCAGCTGTCAACTACAATGCACGTCTCACGCCTCGTTGTGCTGTTCCTTTTACAGCTCTGCCTGTCTTCTGCTGCATACTATCAGTATATCCCGGAGGGCATCTATACAATAAGCGACAACTCGACAGGCCGATTCGCATCGACCGGCACAACTCCAGTTGACGGCATTGTCGAATTCAAGTTGAACACGCCCCATACATGGCGCGTGTGGCATACCTCCTTCACGTTGGATTATGCCTTTCACGCAATCCGAGACGAAAGCAGCAAGAAATATATCCACTTCCCGGAGATCAAGGATGGTGCGGTCGCTGTGATTAGCGACACCCCTTCGTTAGCCCGTGTGAACGAGAATCCTAATGATAATTGCAATTTCTTCTCGATTGGGGCAGATAACCGTCGACTCTATTGGGCCACTGAGCTGTATAGTAATGACAATCCCATTCATGTCCTAAAGCTGAGAGCCGCGGAGCCAGAGGGCAATCGATATACAGTCATCCGTCAGGAAGATGACTGAATGGAGAGTGAAAGGCTGCAGAAATCCTGATGAAAGAGCAACCACGCGAGTCGGCAAACGAGATATGGGCCTGTTATACAACTGCTGAATAGTGAGGATGGATGCTGGACTTCCCAAAGATTGTTTTCATATCACTCTCTCAATAGGAGCCATTATTACCTTGCATAAATTTCTATACTTTTTGCGTTTCAACGAGTGTCAGCAAATAATAAACACCTATTATCGGAATAGAAATATAGATCTAATAGAAAAACACTCTATATATTCAACTGTCAACCCCAAAATGTTGACAATCACATGTTAAGTTTTTGGTGCTCGATCACGCTTATGTCATCATGGCCAGATCGGGACTAGCGCATATGTCAGCCTCGCCGTGACTGGCCCGTGCACTGTGGCTTGGTAAGTGCCAAGCTTGTTTCCAAACTTATTTCAGGGAAGAAGCCAATATAATCAAACATCAATCGTCGTCGTCAGTCGCCATTTTTTGCCAGGAGTCCAGTTCTCACGCATCAAGATACAGACAGATATACCATAGTCCAAGTCACAGATAGCGCCATTTAGCCCATACCAAACTCTTGTCCCTCGCTTCGCTAACATGGATCACCCGGAACCAGAGAACAGCCCCTTTATGGCTGTTTCTGCGCAAACGTCAAAGTTGAGAAGAGTAGGCGATCCAGCTCCGTGTCCTCTTCTAGTCGCTATGTCTATACTTGCGCGGTGATGGTGACTAACATAAGTTGTTGTAACAGCAATACCAAGCATATCTCGATGCGTCGACTCCATATACCATGTACCGATGGATAGGCACTGGTGTCATCCTCCTACTCTTCTTCCTCCGAATAGTGCTTGCGCAAGGCTGGTATATCGGTATGCCGTCTCCTCCTCCTGATATCTTCTGATTTTAAGACAAGTCCTAATAAAATTTTGCGACAGTGGCCTATACCCTGGGTATCTACCTGCTCAACCTCTTCCTCGCCTTCCTCCAGCCAAAATTCGATCCATCCCTTACCCAGGACAGCGGGCTGGAGGAAGGAGATGCTTCCGCATCCCTACCCACCAACCAAGACGAGGAGTTCCGGCCTTTTATCCGACGGCTTCCGGAGTTCAAGTTCTGGCACTCGGCAACCGTGGCTATCACTATCGGCTTCTGCTGCACTTGGTCTCAGGTGTTCAACATCCCAGTCTTCTGGCCAATCTTGGTCGTTTACTGGTTGATTCTGTTCTGCTTGACGAGTATGTATTACCGCATTCCTATAGTTTGCTCTTTCGCGGTCTAACGAGTTGAATCTCTAGTGCGACGACAAATACAACACATGATTAAATATCGTTATGTTCCTTTTACTTTCGGAAAGACGAAGTACGGCCGGACCTGATACGGCCACATCCGCACACTTTCTACCTCCTACGCACCCTCTTTCTTCCTCTACTCTTCTTTAACGTGAAAAATGGGATTTGGATACATCGACGATAATGGATTGCGAAGGAGCTTCAACGACAACCAAAAAATTCAAACGCATGAAAAGATTAATTTTCACTTCGACTTCCTTTCCATACCCTCTTTCTCAGACAACTTCTCTGTATAAAACCTTTCGATGCACTCGCTGAGCTGCATCTTTCCATACGCCCTTCTTATTATTTTTACCTTCTCACAATCCCCGGGCTGGCAGAATTCCTAAGCGCCTCCTATACACCGCTTCCATCTCTTACGATTTCCCTTCACATTTTGAAAAAGAAGAAAGCGGGAAAATGGTCAACCCGGCGGCTCGTCGTTAATTGATATGACCCAACGTTAGCAAGGTTTAATTTTGTGGCTCTTTTTGCCTTCTTTCGTCTATTCTGTTGGATTACATTGATTCTCGCTATGGACAACTATGGTTGTGGCTAGGTGGATTCAAACGTCTCTGTTTTTTTCTTCTCTTTCCTCTGCTATAGAATACTACTAGAGTTATGGTGATCCGATTAATGGCAGCGTGTACTTTTGCAAACATGGACCAAGCGTATCAGCGTGTTTACTTTATCAATGTGGTGGTACTCAACCTTCGACCTAGGTAGGGACTACTAATCTTTTAGACACTTTGGCTCAATATCGTAACTAACATACTCGAAGATAAATCATTTAGTCATAACTCATTCAACCATACGAGTCTTAAGAGTCATAACAGACATAATAAGCATATCAGTAGAAAAACGAGCATAACAAGCATAACATGAGTATCTAACGGCCACCAGCTGCTACAAAGACCGCTTAGCACCACCCATACCCTAGACGGGAGCATGACCATTACCGCTTAACTCGCCCTGGCGCCGATCGACTTCATCACAGGGGCAATGGCGTAGTTGGGAGCGCGTCTGACTGAAGCAACGCTTCAATGACAAGGTATTCCACCTAGTTGATCAGGAGGTCACCGGTTCGATCCCGGTTTGCCCCATAAGAGATATCACCCAATCTTTTCCATAATTTTTTTTCATCCGCCCGTAAGGAAAACGGGTCTTCTTCTTCTCTTCTAGCCTTGCCCAAGTTGTCGTGTTTTTGGTGCGATTTGTGTGGTCACGTGTGATAAAGGGCTCCAGGGTCGCGTCACGTGGTAAATCCAGACTTCATCCCTTTGAGCTGTCTGGATTATCCAAGTCCCAACTGACAACAGATCCAAGCATCTCGCCTTTCTTCTCAGGTCAGGGAAGCATCCTAAGGATTTTACTTTTATTGAGAAGGGGTGTCATGGAAGCCGGATCTTTACCTCTCTGCCGGCAATATATCGCATGCAGTTACCGTAGTGGGCAACCACTTAACTCAAAGTGAAGTGGTCGGTAGCTAACTATATATGCGAAATCTGCCAACATCGAGTAAAGTACCTGAAGCCTCCAGGTTGCACCCCAGGATCCCACAGCAAGAAAGACCATCAACTGGTCTAAATACTTGGCGGATTCGACGTCTGCCACGCATTGCTGGATAGCATCCTTGTTGTTGAGAGCATCTCTCAATATGCTGGATACTCTAGTGGCAGGGTCGATTGCTTCCACGAGGGCTGCCTTATTGCCCCTCCTGAATCCATCTGTTCTTAGCTCCCCGAGATGAGATAAGGCCGCGAGTATCTAGAGAGTGTTGCTATTTTCCTGGAGAAGGAGCCCCTCCACCTTGCTGCCTGGAGCTCGCTGGCCTCAAGAGGTCGTTGGCATTACCCTCAGGACGGAGCCCTGCCGCGCCGCTTCCTAGCCTTTGTTGGAATCTCAAGAGTTTTTCGAGAATACCATAACCCCGGCAAGAGGTTCTCGGCCAAATACGGCATGCTGGCAATATGGTCGGGGTACAACCTTCTTAGTTCTTGACTTAGAGTCAGGCTGACAAACACCGTGCCGTAAATACCTGCAATGTAGAGTATTGCCGGGCCTCTCCCGGTGGGGACGGAAGTGGATACCCTCCGGCATCGAAGATAATGACGAAGATCCGAAAGGTACAGGTCATTACAGGAAGTGTCCAGGCCGCTGCATCACCGTATCTTAGGATCAAAAAGTCAGGGGCATCATCGCCCGATTCCACTTGCCTTGTATACCATGCTTCATTCTCGGCGAAGAAAGCCTTGAGCTTAGACACGAAGGGCACACAGGCAGAGCTGATCGCCACTTTGACCTCCGTGTCACTCTTCTCATCAATGCACTGTGAAAGGGACTACCAGTGAAGCGGATCTGGAGGGTCGGTGGCAGGCTAGCCTGGAAGCCCAGAAGCAGCTGTCAAAATCCGTTTCGTTTCGCGCTCCACCGGCGTATCTATATCCCTCTAATAGTTGTAGGCTAACTTTAAGTATATACGGGGCTTTAAGACTGTTTCATCTCGTATTCTATAGTGAGTGATGTTTCTTGGACGAAACTTGAAGATGGGCGGAAAGTGAGGGTGGGCACTGTCAGAACCTTCTCTTTATGGGCTTACTACAGTCTATGATTACATTGACATGTTAACGGCGTCCAGAAGGAGCTGCTATACAAGTCAAAGTCTTCGGATCTGGGCCTTCCTACCTCTCTCTGTACCGTGGTAGACGACTTTGATCTGTTCCTGGCCATAGATCTGTATCCGAGCTATGGGTGTAAACATCTATGCGCTGTAGGGAAGTAAGCCGCCACCACTACCACAGAACTGGGGCAATGGCGTAGTTGGGAGCGCGTTTGACTGAAGCAACGCTTCAATGACAAGGTTTCACCTAGTTGATCAGAAGGTCACCGGTTCGATCCCGGTTTGCCCCATAAGAGTTTTCCCTCCTTTTTTTTTATTTTTTTCCTACTCTCCTCTACCGTTGTTACTTGACAACAGTGGTGCTTTAGATGGTTGAACGAGTCTTCCCGTACGTGGTTGTCGCGAATGATGCTGTCGATGATACTTTTGCCACGCGGTCATTTGGTGGCTCAACCGCCGAGTCTTGGCGTGCACGCACTTCTATCAAGATTAGATAGATCCCCCTGATCATCTCAGGTTCTAAGAAATTCAAGAATCGCTAGTAAGCAACTATGACCTCGCCCTTGCAGCTTAATCGGTTGCCACAGGAAGTTGTGCGTGGCGTCTACCCTATAGGGCGACAATTTGAGGCGTCATCATCACCTTGAGCCAACGAAAAATGGATACCATCTCACGAGCAAGGCACAAACTATTGACTATATACGACGGGCTACGGAGACAGAGGAAGAGAGCCGTGCGTGTCAAGAGGAGATAAAAGGACGGTGAAATCCTCCTTTTATGATGTTTCTCGTCACTCAGCCATCTCAACTCATCTCCCAACAACCCTCCCGGTCCATATAATATTTTCTTTTGCAAACCGAAACCCGACTTCCCCTCGAACAGCTTCTCAAGATGCGTTTCTCCACCGTCCTATCGGCCATCTTTGTCGGAACTGCCATTGCTGCTCCAGTTGGAAACGTGGTGGGATCCAAGACTGTTTCCCCCGATGTAAATGATGTGGGCGAGGTCGAGGATGTCAACGTCAACGCCCCCGTTAATGTGAATACGGCCCCAAGCAACGTGAACACCAACAACAACCGTATCAAGACATCGAGAACTGTGTCCCCCGATTTGAATGATGTGGGCGAGGTCGAGGACGTCAACATCAACGCCCCCGTTAACGTGAATACGGCCCCGAGCAACCTGAACACCAACAGTAACCCTATCAAGACATTGAGATCTGTCTCCCCCGATTTGAATGATGTGGGCGAGGTCGAGGATGTCAACATCAACACCCCTGTTAATGTGAACACGGCCCCAAGCAACGTGAACGTCAACAAAAACCCCATCAAGGCATAAGTGGCATTCTCCTACCTGCTGTCCCTGCTGGCTCTGCTGTACCCGTCAACACCACTGTCAAGCATGTTTAAGACGATGAGAAGATTCTCGCAGGCAAGGTCTTTGGCGACATATTCGTGGCAGGGGGTGTGTGAATGATAGCACTCGCCATCATCAAGAGCTAGTGAGGTCTTGTGTGTCTCCGGAGCACATTACTAAAAGAGGTTGAAGTGACGACGACATGGCCAGAGACAAACCTGGCTATTGCCTTCAGCTTAATCATCCATACTTTTTTTTACTACGTCTTGTTTTTATTTATCTTTGGCTCTTATTAGACGATAGACTTGACCGGGCCTCTCTAGCCTATTTTTGGAAAAATGTTACAATGGCAATGGTTGATTAAACTGGAATTTCTTCATGAAAAGGAGCTGAAGGCAGATACTTGTTTTAGGGTGGAGATATAGATTAATTTTTATACTGTACGGAGTACATGTTTCTAGAAGTCATGTTACCATTGATTGTCAAGACGATGATTCCAAGGCGCCTGCGAGATGCATGTATAGCGGTCGTGTTGGTGAGTGGCTTGACCTCCTAAGAGTTTGCTGCTTCTTCGCCCAGACTTCTCCCTCTTGATTCCTGAGACCTCGTCATGAGAGCCCAAACCCAACCTATGGAACGCGTGGGATTTCTCGATATAACCCCACCATCCTTGTTCTCTGCACCGACTCCTGTTCAAAAGAAAACAAAGTCGATTGGCATTCTTCAGGTGCTGAATTACCCGCCATTCGATGCGTGATCATGTACGACGTGGCGACGCCTAAATCGGCTGAAACCCAGCAGAGTTGGCTCTGTTTGCTTCGGGCCTGAATGGATCATCCTGCAAATCAACGACAATCGAATGTCGATAAAAGATCTGAATGTTGGATGCAAAAACTTGTGTGACGATGAACCAAGGGTTTCTTTGAATCAACTGCTCCTATTATTGGTGAAGATGCAATGCCCAAATGTGGAAACTCCCTCGGCCTCTCAGCAATTTAGGTCGATTTCTTGCGCCAGGCTAGCAATGCAACCTGACTTACTCCGTCCAAAGCAATGATACATCTGTGCCGCACAGTGCCCGGAACTGGTCTTCTGGACTAAACGTGGGCTGGTGTATCCAGAAGGACGGCAGATGATCCCGCTCCTCGGGGTTGGAGATATTTGTTTTCTTTTATACCCGTATACCGCGTATTGATCCAAGATACGGAGTACTCTGTGCCGACAGCCCTTCATGACGTCGAGATCAGCAACGAGTTATTCCCTGGTGTAGGGGAATGACTCTTTGTAATTCCGACGACGAGTCGGGGCGTGGAATGCCGCATGCGCTGAATATTTACGAATGGCTGGCTGCATTTCTCGGCTCTGATGGTGGTATGAAAAACCCGCTGCCATCAATCTTGCCCTTCTTCAGCCTCGTGGGTGTCTCCGCCTTTTACGTCTGGCTTCGCGACTGGGTGGGACATGATGCGGCCATGAGATATTTGAATATAGGAGCCCATTCTCTTGTTGATTAAGTAGACCCGAGTCACTGGTGTTCTTGTTATCTGTTATCCTTCTTTTGCACTTCTATGTAAAGACTAGTGTGCGGAAGACTACTTCTCTAAGCATTCTTCAAGCATTCTTCAGCCATGGCGCAAAGTTCGACTGAAGAGCCCGGAGGCTTTGTCCAACTACGAGTCATCGTCGTTGGCGCTGGTATCGCTGGCTTTGCAGTTGCAACAACGCTAAGAAAGGCAGGCCATAAAGTCAAGGTAGGTTACCCTGCCACTATGGGAAGACGAGTGATTCCAGAAGTTTGGTTATGGCGTTATGGTTATTCTTATCTTGATGCTGTGTCTAATCTGTATGAGATGGACGTCAGATCCTTGAAAGGTCCCGATTTACGCGCGAAGCCGGGTTTGGAATATCTATCGCACCAAATGCCTCAAAGGTTCTGAAAGTGCTAGGTATGGATACCGATTGATATATGCCCTATACTATGGAATCATGAATTTGCTAAGTCTCTTTTTTTGCAAACACTTAGAATTTGATTTCGCTCGAGCAGGAGCTGTAGACTGCAGTGCTGTAAGCCCCTCTGATGCCCAAAAGGGGCTCGAGTACCAACGTCCAGACGCTGAATGTTAGTTA